ATGCAAAGGCATTTGATTGTGTGGATCATGACAAATTATGGATAACATTGAGAAGAATGGGAATTCCTGATTCTATTTAAGAGGGAGTTCTTAAGGAAACCCAGTGACAGAGGAAAGAGGAAACTCAAGGCTTTGGCACCTACAGGTACAGCACATAATGAATCCAGGCAAGCTTTTAGCCAGATTAACACAAAACCTCACAGTAAAAAGGGAGATAATCTCAGTTCCTACTTACAGATGCACCATATCTGAATTTTAACAAGAACAACAACAACAACAAAAAAAAAGCCTATGAGTCATGCTGAAAGGTAACAGAACAGTTTAAAGAGACACAGCTGACTCAGATCTGGCACAGATTTTAGAATCTCAGGTGAGTGATGTAACTGTGATTCATATGCTAAGTAATTCATATTACTGCACCCTGGTGGTGCAGTAATTAAGCATCTGTCAGTGGTTCTAATCCATCAGGAGCTCCAAATAGAAAGGCATGGTCATTATCTTCTGTAAGTCTGCCGTTTAAGAAGCCTTTAAGGGCAGTTCTACTCTGTCCTATAGGTTCACAATGAGTTGGAATTGATTTGACAGCAGTGGGTTTGGTGTTTTGGTGTTAGTCGTATTGTGTTGTTTTCTCCAGCAAGTTTCTACACTTTGGATAGAGTGAGACTATAGAAGTCCCTGTCCAGCATTACTATTATAATAAGTCCTCTGTAGTCTAAGTTTTTCAAGAGGTGTAAAAGTAGGGAAAAATGATGCATTTTAAGGTGCATGTAGACCTACCTTCCATGTTCCATCATCCACCAAAACCACATGCCATCTCTTAGAAAAGAGAAGATTTACTTGCTACTGTTCACTCATTGCTGACTCAGCAGCCCAAGATGGGAAGTGTTTAAGAACCAACTCTCCTAAAACTAAACCTTTGGTAATGTCTGGTGGAAATAATCCCACTATGGCCAATTTCAAAGGCCAATGAAACTTGCATTTGTAGAAATGCCAGTAATTGGCTTTTATGAGGTTGTACTGGCTGTAGCTCTCCACTACCTGGAAGTAATAAAGGGAGGAAGAAATGTTGGGGATGGGCAAGTGCTTAGAATGCTTGCATCACATAGGACAAGGGTGAGGATGTGGACTGAATAGCCCTGGCAGGAAGCAGAAATAAAAGCAGGGAGAAATTGAATGCCTGTCCAAGGAATTCAGTGATCATAGGATTTCACAGGTATTTAGGTGAGAGATACTGGGCTCTCCCCACTGTGGTCAGCATAAATTGCTGAAGGAATGCAGGGAAGAGTTGACAGTATCCATTACCACAGCCTTTTATTTTCAGATTGGAAGGAATACCTTGAGGCCAAAGTATACATTTTCATTCATGTGGTCTTTGCTGATAGCCATGTAAGATATGATGGCAATGCTAACCATAGTGCACACCATGAAATCATCATACCACAATATAAGTGATTACTGCATCTCTAGCTATGACCTTGATCATGTCTTATAGAAGTAATCTCAGGTAAAACATTATGTCTTTAACAACAATATTGTTGTTGTTGTTGTTATGTGCCGTCGAGTCGGCCCCGACTCATAGCGACCCCTCCTTGGGTTTCCGAGGCAGTATCACTACGGAAGTAGGATTGCCCAACTTTCCTTCCGAGGAGTGGCTGGTGGGTTTGAACCGCCAGCCTTCTGGTTAGCAGTCAAGTGCTTTAGCCACTATGCTACCAGAGCTCCCAACAACAATATTAGTGTCTTGTTATTTCCCTATTGAGGTAAAAGGGTCAAAGAGCCATTTGGGTGATTGATGTTCATGCAGGCATGCAGAAAAATCCTCATGCATTCATCACTACAGTAATGAACTTGGACTGTCTTCAGGTGTTTGCACAAGAGATGTGGTTGTCTACAAGTATGTTTTGACTAAGGAGTTCCACATAAATGCAAGCATGTTTGCTCTATCTTGTCCTGCTAGAAGAGAATTCTCATGAGGCTTATAGAAACCGATAGGGTGTTCAGGTTCTCTGAAGAGGAGATCATGGTAAACATAGGAATGGTGACTGCTGGAGCCTTAACTGTTATCCAGTGATAACATGGGCCTTATCCACAGCACACACCATCTGATCATTAGGAACCAAGGGAAGTAATGATGCTTTTCCTAAAGTTACCTGTTCCCATGTGGCTTTTTGCAGGATCATGTAAAACATGAAAGTGATGCTGCAAACAGTAATTAGCATGAACATTGGGTGCTTCATATCTTAGTTTTAACATATGTTTAACCTTGTAGTAAGTGAGGGATTTTTAGGTATCTAGGTTCAACCATCATGGTGTTCTCCATCACAGAAGTGACCATGTGTATTTGAAGATGACCACATAAATGCTTTCACTGTCTTTAGTTTTTCAACTTGAAGTTCTGCTCAATTTCTATGCTCTTGTAAAAATGGAATTTAAACATGGTTTTGGGTTTCCTTAGAAAACTTTATTCCTTTCATATGACTTATCATTTGGCTTTTAAGGGTTTGAGAGAAAAGACCATGAGAAAGCAATAGTTGTCATTCATATGGGCCCTGCTGATGTTTAAGTAAGTTATGGTGTGATTTTTTTCACAGCTAAAGCCATCACTTCTCTGTAGAACACAATAATTTATATTTCTGTCTTTAGCATTTAATATTAGCAGGTTTTTATGCTGTAATTCAGGTGAAAAAAAAAGTTAAACTATCAATATTTAATCCTAAAAGAGGGCAGATCCATTCTGTACTGAGCAGGCATATTTAATGTTGTTAGTAACTGAGTATTTTTTAGTATTCCAAGCTAGTCATCCAGCTTTCTTACCCTAGTCATAATCATGGTTTTGTTTGTCTTCATGGAAGTGATATGATTGTTCCAAGAAAATGGTACTAGAGATCTGCTAGAATTCAGGGAGAGAGTTCAGTTCCCAGGTTGCCATAGAAACAAAAGAATCTTCAGTAATCCCAGTGAAAACATGCATTAAAAAAAAATTCTAGCCTTTCATTTTCTAATTCAGGAGAATACATCACTGCATGCTCAACCATATTCATTCACATGAAATTTGCTGATATCCAGGTAAGTGACGATGTGATTAAACCACACCATATACACCCTGAGATCTCTAAACAATCAGATAAGTGATTTTTCTATCCCCATCACTTACAGTTATGTTTTCTTAGATGCCTAATCTCAAGAAAAACATTTTGTCTTCCCCACTATGACTACCTAGCACGAGGTCTTCTTATTTCTCTTTTGAATCCCAAGAGTCAAACAGCTCTTAGGGTGACTGAAGTTCATGCAGGTATGCAGATGAGAACTCATGGTGATCATCACTGTAAAAATGAACTTGGACACTCTGGCCATGTTTTCAAAAGACATGTGGTTGTCTCCAATATGTTGTGACCAAAGAGTTCCAGCCACAGGAATCCAGGTACATTTGCTGTATACTTTCGCCCTGGAAGAGAATTCTCACATGGGCCATTAGAAAATATAAGTCCTATTGCACCAGGTATGTTATTCTGTTTGTCAGGAGTAAATTATATTGTATCTAAAACAGTGACTGCAACAGACTTTGCTGTTATACAATAAGCAATGATGTGGGTCTTATGTACAGTACATACCGTCTGATCTTCAGAAACCAAGGCAAATAAAGATGCTTTCCTAACATTTGCTGTTCCCACATGTCTTTAAGTGGAATAATGTATCATGAAAATAACACAGTAATCAGAATGAGAATTGATTGCTTACTTATTTAGTGTGCATGTGTGTCTAACCTCATAGTAAGATATGCTTTGATAGGTGTCTAGGTGAAATCATCATGGTGTTATTCAACACAACAGTGACCAGGAATTTTATCAAGTGTCCACACAAGTGCTCTCTCTGTTTTCCACTGTATTATCACAATGAGGTTCTGTTCAGTTTCAGCTAGGTTTCCCATGATTCAACGGAAGTGACCGATGGTTTGTGGGTGTCCTTGGAACAATATGTGACTTTCACATTCCTATTCAGATTCTAGAAAAGTGGTCATGAAAAAGTAACAGTTGTCATTCACATGGACCTTGGTGATATCTAGGTAAGTTACACTGTGATACCAATTACAACAGAAAACCTCTCCTTGTCCAAGAACATGACAAGACACATTTCTTTCTCGAGCAGTTATTATTAGCATTTTTTATGCAGTTATTCAAGGAAAAAATACAACTTCAACTCTTAATGTGCATATCCTAAAAGTGTGGTGGTTCCTACCCTACCAACTACAGGTATTTAATGTTGGTAGTAACTGAGTATTTTGTAATTCTCTAGGTTGTTCATCCAGGTTTCTTACCACAGGAGTGATCATGAAGTTTTTGGAGGTGTTCAGGGGAGAGACAGGATTGTTTCCAGAAAAATTTTGGCACTGAAAGTGTGCTGGAATTCAGGTAGAATATGTGGTTCCAAAGCTACATGTTAGGAACAAAATAATTTGCTGCAATCCTGATGAAAATGTGCAAAAATTGGCACCCTTTTCTTTTCAGATTGAACCCAATGCATCACTACAGGTGTAACCATCTTCGTGTGTGTGACATTTGCTGATATCCAGGTAAGTGAGGATATAACTCTCACAATAAACAAATATGGTAAAATATTCCAACAGGAAGGTAAGAGATTTTTCTGTCTGCACCATTGATTAAGACCATGTTTTAGGCACATAATCTCAGGTTAGGCATTATGTCTTTCCCACCCCTGCAAACAAGTATGAGATCTTGTAATTTCTTCATTGAATCCTAAGAGTGAAAGAGACTTGGTGTGACTGAGGTTCATGCAGGTATGCAGGAAGGTTGTTGTGGTTTCATCACAATAGTAATGTTCATGGTCTCTCTGCAGGTATTTACACAAGAGATGTATGGTCTCCAAGTACATTTTCACCAAGGAGTTCCACATTAATCCTGGTATGTATAAGTATCCTGTCCCCCTGGAAGAAAGCTCTCTGTGGGCCTGTAGAAAAGATTGATCCTTATAAACCAGATATGTTGTTTAGGTTCTCTGGAGTGGAGATCATGGTGAACCTTTATATGGTGACTGCAAGAGACTTTACTATTACCCATGTAAGAGATAATGTGGGCTTTATCCACAGCACAAACCATCTGATCTTCAGAAACCAAAGCAAGAAAGGATGTTTTTTCCTAAAATTACCTGTTATTACCTGTTTCTGTGTTTCTTTTTGGGGAATCCTGTAAGTCTTGAAAGTGTCACAGCAGACGCTAATCATCATGAGAACTGATTTCTTCCTAACTTAATTTTGTTGTGTGCTTAACTCTGTTATATGTGAAGAAATTGTAAATATCAAGGTCAAATCATCGTGGTGTTCTCTACCACCAAAATGACCATGAATTTTTGCAGGTGACCGCACAAGTGCTTTCATTATCTTTAGCTGTTTTACCATCTTGAAATTCTGAATAGTTTCAGGTCAGGTTCCTGACTTAACTAATAAGAGAAGTGGCCAAGTGTTCGGGGATGTCCCTAGAAACACATGTGCTTTTCTTCTGATTTCTTACCTTCCTTTTAACAATTCAATAGAAGGTATGATGGAAAAGTAACTGTCGTCCTTCACATGGGTCTAGCTGAAATCTAGGTAAGATATGCTGTGGTATTAATCAGAGCAAAAACCATCTCTTCTTCCCAGAACATGGTAGGTCATGTATCTGTGTCTAGTATTTATAATTAGCATGTTTTAATGCTGTAATTTAGGTAATGAATACCAATTTAACTGTCAATGCTTAACCCTAATAGAGGGTAGTTCCCTTGTCTATGACTAGGAATGTTTAATGTTATATTTAACATTATCTTTAACATGAACTGTGTATTTTGGTGTTTTCCAGGCTAGTCATCCAGCTTTCTCAAATAGTGATGATCGTGAAGTGTTTGCAGGTGTAAATGGAAGAGATGTCATTGTTTCCAGAAAATTCTGGGTGCTGGAAGTCTAGGCATTTAGGTACAAATTTCAGATCCCAGACATGTGATAGGAAAAAAAAGGACATTTTCAGTAATTATTATGAAAACATGCATATTTCAAAAAGACTCTAACATTTGATGTTCTGATTCAAAAGAGTACATCGCTGCAAGCCTAAACATCTTCATTCACATGGACTTTACTGATATCCAGGTAAGTGATGACATAATTCTAATAACGGTATATACACCCTGCTATCTCTAAACAACGGGGAAGTGATTTTTCTGTCTCCAACCCTTGTAGTGCCATGTCTTAGATACCTAATGTCAGGTAAGATATTATGTCTTTCCCAAGAAGATATGGTAGCATGAGATCTTATTATAACTCTTTTGAATCTTAAGAATCAAACAGTGCTTGGAGTGACTGAAGTTCATGCGGGCATTCATCACCACAAAAATAAACTTGGACTCTCTTCAGGTATTTTCAAAAGAAATGTAGTTGTCTCTGTTGTATTGTGACCAGGGAGTTCCACATGAATCCAGGAATGTTTGCTGTATTCTTTCACCCTGGAAGATTATTCTCAGATGGGGTGCTAGAAAAGATAGGTTCTATTACACCATATACATTGTTTTGCTTTACAGAATGAGCTGATGTTGAACCAAGAACAGTGATAGCAGGAGACATTGCTGTTATACAGGTAAATGACAAGGAGGACTTTATTCACAGTGCACACCATCTGATCTTCAGAAAGCAAGGCAAGTAAGGATGCAGTTCTTAAAATGATCTCTTTCCATGTTTCTTTTTGAGGGATCATATACATCATGAAAGTGACACTGCAGACACTAACCAGCATGAAAACTCATTACATTCTAACTTGGTTTTGATGTGTATTTAAACTTGTAGTAAATGTGGGACTTGTACGTGTGCAGGTGAAATCATCGTAGTGGTCTTCACCACAGAAATGACCATGCATTTTTGTATTTCGCCACACAAATGCTTTCACTGAAACTATTTTTTTTTTCACCTTGAAATTGTGCTAGTTTCAAGTAGGTTCTCTGGCTTTCATAATAACAGAAGTAACCAAGGGTTTGGAGCTGTCCTTAGAAAAACATGTGCCATTCATCTAACTTCTCACTTTGCTTTTAAGATTCAAGAGATATATGATGAAAAAATAACAATCATCATTATTGACATACATCTTGGTGATATCTAGGTAAGTTCTGCCGAGATTTTAATCATAACAAAAATCATCTTCTCTTCCAAGATCACATTAGGGCATATTTCTGTCTCTAGCATTTATGATTATCATGTTTTTATGTTGATATTCAAGTGAAAACAGCAATTTAACTGTCAAGTCTTAACACTAAGAATGGACAGATTCTTTCTGTACTGACCAGGGATATTTAACATTGGTAGTACCTGAGTATTTTTCAGTTCTCCAGGCTAGTCATCCAGCTTTCTTACCACTGTAATGATTGTGAAGTTTTTGCAGGTGTTTACCTGAATGATGTGATTTTATCCAGAAGTTTCTGGGCACTGGAAGTCTACTGACCTTTTAACAGAAAACTCTGGTTCCAGCTAATTTGATAGGGGGAAAAAATGTCCAGGAATGCTGGCCAAAGCATGCATATTAAAAACAAACAAACAAAAAAACCCTCTACAATGTATTTTTCTGCCTCAAGAGAATGCATCACCATGTTTAGCCATCTCATTCACGTGATCTTTGCTGGTATACAGTTAAGTGATGATATGCTTCTAACCACAGTGTACATTATGGCATCTTTCAACAAAGTATGTGATTTTTAGTCTGTGACACTGACAATGACTATGTCTTAGATACATAATTCAGGTAGAATGTTATGACTTTCCCCCAATGACTAGCAAGCATGAGATTGTATTATTTCTCTCTTGAATCCTAAGAGTCAAACAGTTCTTTGAGTGACCAAGAATCATACAAGTATGTAAGCAAAATCTCATGGCACTTATCACCACAAAAATCTACTCAGATTCTCAGCAGGTGTTTTCCAAAGAGATGTGGAAGGCTCTATAATGTTGTGACTAAGGAGTTCCACATGAATCCAAGTACATTTGCTGTATCCTTTCACACCAGAAGAGTATTCTCAGGTAGATCATTAGAAAAGTCCTATTAAATGGGATATGTTGTTCAGGTTCTCATGCAGATATTATGTTGAACCTATTATGGTTATTGCAGAAGATTTTGGTGTTATCCAGGTAAGTGGGGATGTAGGCCTTAGCCATAATACGTACCATCTAATCTTTAGAAACCTAGGCAAGTAACTTGGTTTTCCATAGCGGTTTACACAAAGGATGTATTGTCTACAACTACATTTTTACTGAGAAGTTCCACTTAAATCCAAATACATTTACTGTAGGAGGGAATTCTTGGGTGGGCCCACAGAAAATATAGCTCTCCATGGATCAGATATGTTTTCCAGGTTCTCTGGAGGAGATCATAGTGAATCTAAGAATGGTGACTGAAGTAGACTTTTCTGTCAATCAAAGTAAGTAGTGATGATGTGAGTCTTGTCCACAGCACATATCATCTAACCTTCAGAAACCAAGGAAAGTAATAATGCTTTTTTTGTTACCACATTTCCTCATATGTAATCATGTAAGTCCTGCAAGTGATATTGCAGACACTAATCACCATGAGATCTGATTACCTCCTTACTTAGGATTGTTGTGTGTTTAATCTGGTAGTAGGTGACATATTTGCCAATTTTTAGGTTGAATACTTGTGGTGTTCTTTAACACAGTAGTGATTATGAGATTTTGTAGTTGTCCATGAAACTGCTTTTGCTGTCTTTAACTATTTTTTTCACCTTGAAGTTGTGTTTGCTTTCATGTAGGTTTCCTGGCTTTCCTTCTAAAGGATGCTACCAAGGCTTTGAGGGTGTACCTGGAAAACCATGTGTCTTTCATCTGACCTCCCCTTCTTTTTCAGATTCAAAAGAAGAGATTATGAAAAAGTAACAGTTGTCATTTGCATGGACATTGGTGATATCTAGGCAAGTTCAACTGTGATTCTAATCACATTACAGAAGACATCTCTTCTGCCAGGAACATGGTGAGTCATATTTCTTTCTGTAGTATCTAGCAGTAGCAATTTTTTTTTTCACAGTTGTTGTTGTTATTGTTGTTATGTGCCATCGAGTTGGCCCCTACTCGTAGCGACCCTTCCTTGGGTGTTCAGGGCAGTATCTCCATGGAAGTAGATTGCCCAAACTTCCTTCCAAGGAGTTTGAGCCACATGCTTTCTGGTTAGCAGTTGAGTGCATTAGACACTAAGCTATCAGAGCTCCTTTAGTTATCAAGGAAAAAGTACCATGGTAACTGTTAATGCTCATAACCCTAAGGGAGTGTTTGTTCCTACAGTTAACCACAGATATTTAACATTGGCAGTAACTGAGAATTTAGCACTTCATGGTATTTTCAATTGCCTCATATGCATGTGAGAGCTGGACAATAAATAAGGAAGATGGAAGAAGAGTTGATACTTTTGAGTTGTGGTGTTGGTGAATAATGCTGAAAGTACCATGGACTGTTAATGGAACTAACAGATTTGTTCTGGAGGAAATGAAACCAAAATGCTCTTTGGATACAAGAATGTCCAGACATCATCTCACATACGTATGTTGGCCATTTTATCAGAAAGGACCAGTCTCTGGAGAAGGATGTCATGCTTGGTAAGGTGGAGGGACAACAAAAGAGAGGAAGGTCTTCAATGACATGGATTGACATTGTGGCAGAGGTGGTGGGCTCAAGTATAGCAAGGATCCTGGAGTTGGCTTAGAAACGGGTAGTGTTTTGTTCTGTTATGCATAGGGTCACTATAAGTCAGAGATGAATGCAGGTATGTTTGCTGTATCCTGTCCCACTGGAAGGGAACTATTGGTGGGACCATAAAAAACACAGGTCATTATAAAACAGGTATGTTGTTCAGATTCTCTTGAGAGCAGATCATGGTGAAACTAAGAATGTTGACTCCAAGATACGTTATTGTTATCGAGGTAAGTGATGATTTGGGCCTTGTCCATAGCACCCACCATCTAATCTTTAGAAACCAAGGTAAGCAGAATGCTTTTCCTAAAACTGCCCATTTCAAAACTCTTTTTGAAGGATCATGCAAGTCATGAAAGTGACACTGCAGGAACTAAATTGGCATGAGGATGATTTGTTCCTAACTTAGTTTTTTTTGTTTGTTTATTATTTTTTCTTGTGATTTGAATGAAAGTTTACAGAGCAAATTCACTCTTTGTACAGCAATTCACACTCACTTTGTCTCATTAAATTGGCTACACTTTACCACAATGCAACAGCTTCCCTCCCATTTCCTCTCCATAGTTACCTCTTCCCTGTGTCCTTCTCTTCCATGCATGTCTTCCCCCTGAATAGTCTCCCTGTGCATACAGAGCCTTCTATTCTCTCATGATTGGCTCTCCAAGGAGTGTATCTACCTAATGTAAATGTTCAGCTCATATGCCTGTCTTTTGTTTGGCTGGAAGTCACAGGAGTGTGTTCAATTCCAGACCTGAAGGGCAGCTAGGGGCCATAGTCTTAGTGGTTCCATCAGGCCCTATCAGACCAGCAAATCTGGTCCTTTAAAAAATAATTATAATAATTTTGAGTTTTGATCCACATTCTTCTCCCTCTGTATCCAGGATCTCCCACAGAGATCCCCCTCTGAGTGGTTGACAGTGGTATCTAGACACCATCTAGTTTTTCTGGTCTCATAGTTGTATTGGCTAGGGATCACATGGTGTGTCAGTTGCTTGTACTAATTGTTTCCATGTGTCTTTGCTTTTCTTCATTTTTCTTGGCTCTGGATAAAGAGAGACCTATTGTTGCATCTAGATGGATGCTTGAAAACTTTTAAGATCCCAGTTGCTACTCACCTAAGTAGGAAGTGGAACAATGTTTTTGTATGTTATGTTATGCAATTAAGCTTGATGTCCCCTGTGATTATGGACCCATACCCACAGGTCCAACTATTTGTTACCTCTGGGTAGCTGGCTGTGGCCAAGAAGTAACTACACCCTTACTGCTTGTCAGCTTTACTTTATACCTGGGAATTCTCACAGAACATACAAATACACTTGCAAAAACATTATCTGCCAACTCTATACATGGTAATGAGCACATGCCCTCTGCCCCCAGCACAGGCAGACCTAATAATTCAGACTGCCCACCTATCTATCCACCTATATCAATGTTCCTAACTTAGTTTTGATGTGTGTTTAATTTCATTGGGGCATAGGGATTTGCAGGTACCCATGTGAAATCATAGTGGTGTTCTTTACCACTGACTGTGAGGGCGCTCTGGTAGCATAGTGGCTAAGGCACTTGACTGCTAACCAGAAGGCTGGTGGTTCAAACCTGCCAGCCAATCAATCCTCAGAAGGAAGATGGGGCAATCTACTTCCATAGTGATACTGTCTTGGAAACCCAAGGAGGGGTCTCTATGATTTGGGTCCGACTCAACGGCACATAACAACCACAACAACAACAACAGTGAGGGTTTTCAGTGACTGTGAGGGTTTGCAGATGACCACACAAAGGTTTTACTGTCTTTAACTATTTTTTCACCTAGAAGTTCTTTTCAGTTTCAGGTCAGTTTCCTGGCTTTCCTAATAACAGAAGTGATCAAAGGTTTGTGGGTTTCCCTTTCACTAGACCTGTCACTATTCTTTTCAGATTCAAAAGAAGAGATGATGGAAATGGAACAGTCTTCATTTGCATGGGCCTTGCTGATATCTAGGCAAGTTATACTGTGATTTTAATAGCAAAAACAATCTCTATTCTTCCTTGAGCAAGATAATTCATATCTCTCTTGCTGACATTTTATCATTTGCATGTTTTATGCTGTGGTTCAGGTAAAACTCAGCACTTTATGTGTCAACGCTTAACCCTAAGACCAGGCACACTGTGTCTGTAGTGACAATAGAGAGAGATTTAATGTTGGTAGCACCTGTGTATTTTCTAGTTTTCCAGGCTAGTCATCCACCTCTTTCACCACAGTAATGATTGTAAAGTTTTTGCAGGTGTTCACCTGAGCAATGGGATTATTTTCCAGAAGTTTCTGGACACTGGAAGTGTACAATACTTCGTGTAGAAAATTCTAGCTCCAGAGTTACTTGCTAGGAACAAAAGAATTTTAAAAATCCTGGTGAAGGAGGAGTTACGGCAAGATGGCGGACTAGGCAGAAGGACTGCACAGACCCTCTTCAACAAAGAAAAGGGAAACAAATTAATACAGACACAGAAGATAATATTTGACCCCTGAGCCTTGAAAGGAAGGATACAAAAGTGGACTAAACCCCAACTAGCGAGCAGAAGAATTTGCATGAAAATACAAAAAAGGAGACACATGGAGCTGTGGTCTGGCAGCGACAGATGGCTTGGAGATTCCTGAGTGGTGAAAGGACCTAAGAATTAACCCAAAAATAACCCTGCTGGCCAGGGACTGCATAGAGGATTGTGCACAGTGGCTGGGGAACAAACAGAGAAGGTGAAGAGAAAGGTGGGCTGAGCTGTGGACTTTTGCAGATCTGGAGGGTGCCG